TTTTACCGCTTTGATATTATCTGAACTGTATATAAACTGCGCCGAAACCCTTCTCTTCTTACCTCCGGGGAGAAGCTCGCTGGTCGAGACTCCCTATTCTGTTAGTGTCAATACCTGAAATAAGAAAGAGGTCGGACAAATTACAAAGCCGGACGATCTCGCGGGTCCCCGGTTTGTAGCCCCCTCCTCGACTCGAGTTGTCCGCTCGGGTACACAGTCTAGAACATATACCCAGGTTATAAACCTAGTATAACGAAACCTCATGCCGGATCCCTAGTAAGAACGCTTATTTGCATCATGGTGCATTTGACATAGGGGACTCAACATAGGGGTTGGGTCCGTTTAGGATAGGCAACCTGAAATGAAAAGACCATCATGCTGCATCCCGTTTGTTTTGCGCATTTATTTGCTTCAGATCTGCATGCTGACCGGTTTATAAAAAAAACTTAAAAAAAAAGAAGAAAAAATGAAAACAAAGTTTGTCTTTTAGTTTGATTTATAAAAAAAAGCATATATAATAAAAAATTCCCTTTAATCACTTTCAAAATCCAAAAAATATATATGTATTTATTAAAAAGTTAAAAAAGGAAAAAAAAGGGAAAATTAAAAATTCAAAAAAAAAATGTTGTTTCTTTTGTAGTATCTCTTTTATAAATTCAGACTAATAGTCCAAATACTTCCTTAGAAGATTTTTCTTTAGTCTTCATCTCTTTTCAAAAAAAAAAATATATATAAAATTCCAGAAAAATATTTTTTCCTTTTCTTTAAAGATTGTATTCAGAAGGGGTTTAGTTTATTTACTCTACGCCTGATCGGCCCGAACTACGCCGGTTTGATTCTCACAGGGTATGAGATACGTAGGCAACCCTCATCGGGTCCAACCTCCCCTTTTTCAGAAATAGCCAAAATGTCAGAATTTTAATTTATGAGTCAGGTGATGCCGTTTTGTCAAGAATAGCCGAATGTTCCCGAAAGGGACGCCGGAAGGCTGACTTTGCATAAACAGCCATTTTTGGTCATTTTTTAAAATTTTGACCAAATTGCCCAATGGCCTTAGGATCCTCGTCCCCGAGGCTCTGCAATGCCATATTCCCAATGTCGGGTCACCATTCTGAAAAAAAAAGAAAAAAAAAGAGTCATAAATAAATCAAGTGATGCTGTTGTTGTCAAAAACGGCCAAATGTTCCCGAAAGGGACGGCGGAAGACTGACTTTGCGTAAACGGCCACTTTCGATCATCTTTTAAAGTTTTTATCGATTGACCCTCACAGCCTTAAAATCTTCATCCCCGAAGTGCTGAAAGGCCGCGTTCGAAAATCGGATCTTTCTTTCTAAAATATAGTCAAATCATTTTTAGTCAAATCATTTTTGCTTAAATCCCCTTAATAAATGTGCAGGATGGGCACAATGCAAAATTAACACTTTTTAACAGCAAATGTCCCGAACTACGCAAGATCTGATTCACGCGGGATCGTGATACGTAGGCAATCCTCATCGGATCCGGTCACACTTTTAACTGCAAATAATGAAAACAATAATAATAGGAAATAATAAAATAAAATAAAAAAAATAATAATAAAAAATGATAAATAAAGGGAAGCCTAAAGAGAAGCCGGAATGACGCATGTCTTCGTTGCAAACATGTAGAAATTCACTTAACTGTATAGGTGCACCACGCCCCAACGTGATCTTACCTATCTGTTATTTGTTTCGAACTAACCGTTTGTTTGCTGCTGAGTCCTCCAGGTTTTTAGAAAAGGTGGTTGGTTTGGTGGAGGTCTGGCCTCACATTCATACTTCACGAGGTCGAAAGGAAGTGTTCAGTTGCCCGTTGTTAAGTCGAGAGGGAGTATTCACACTTACTTCACAAGATCAAAGGGAAGCANATGTTGGATGACTGGAATAACGGAAAAGAGCCACCGAGTGTAATCCCTGGGTTCCCTGAGTTGTTCTCCAGGACAAGTGGGACTTCCAACATCCCCATAAGCTATCCAACTACCCCATTCGGGTACCCGCCCATTTCAGCCCACTCTGCTGGATCACCCTCTGAGTCTTGCCCCTGGATGTCAACGACGGATGTAGCTGCAAGCATATTCACCGCACCACCCTGTCCAATCGTGGCACAACCCACTACACACATGCCCAATTTTGACTCTTCCTCATTCACATTCCAAGCCCCATCCTTCTCATTGGAACCAACTCAGTTCACCACCAACACTCATCCTCAACAATCTCAATACGAGTTTGTACCTGGGCAAGAACAGAACCCTAAAGTTGCTGAACAAGATGAGATGGCAAAAAGAATGAGGAGCCTCGAGCAGATTTTGAAAAACATGCAAGGTTTAAGCGGACAGAAGAGTGTCTCCTATACCGATCTATGCATGTTCCCTCACATGCACCTACCCGTGAGTTTCAAAACACCAAACTTTGAAAAGTATAACGGGCACGGTGACCCCATTGCTTATCTCAAGAAGTATTGCAACCAATTAAGGGGAGCCGGCGGCAAAGAAGAATTATTGATGGCATACTTCGGGGAAAGTCTGGTAGGAATCGCCTCAGAGTGGTATATGGACCAGGACATATCTCGATGGCATATATGGGATGATCTCGCCAGAGATTTCGTGGGACAATTTCAATATAATATTGACATCGCACCAGACAGAAATGCTTTGTCAAACTTGAAGAAGAAACCCTCAGAGAGTTTCAGAGAATATGCTATTAAATGGCGCGAGCAAGCATCAAGGGTAAAACCTCCCATGGACGAGATAGAAATGGTAAGTACTTTCCTCCAAGCTCAAGAATCAGACTACTTCCAAAACATGATGTCAGCCATAGGAAAGCCTTTTACGGAAGCGATTAAGATTGGGGAGATGGTGGAGAATGGTTTGAAAACGGGTAGAATTTTGAGTCAGGCAGCCATAAGGGCAACCTCCCAACCCGTCCAAAGCGGGTCCGGAGGAATGGCAAGAGGGAAGAAAAAGGAAGAGACGTCCATAGCGGCATCAGAAGCAGGAGAATATCATAACCCCAAGCCCTGTTTTTCAGAAAGAACCCCGCAACATTATTTCCCCCACCAAGATGTGACCTATGCTCCTCAGCCCTACATGGTCATGAATACCCAGCCTTACGTCCAGCCGCCGCAGCAAGCCAATTGGGGCCAAGCTCCACCTCCTAGAAGTCAGCCTCCTTACCGAAACCGCTACAATCCTCGGCCTTCCCAGAATAACTTTCGTCCTCGGGAACCACCCAGGAGACCCAACTATACACCAATCGGTGAACCCTACTCCACCCTATTCCCTAAGTTTGTCCAGATGAATTTGTTGCAGCCCATACCACCAAACGGGCAAAACCCGGAATCACCATCATATCAGCGGGGTGTCAGGTGTGCATACCATTCAGGGGTAGAAGGGCACGATACAAACAACTGTTGGACATTGAAACAAGCGGTAGAGAATTTGTTAGAGCAAGGGAAAATTATGTTGAAAGACGAGGATGTCCCAAATGTGACCAATAATCCGCTGCCCGCCCACAACAACGGGCCGATAATTGGGATGATTTGTGAAGACAAGGAATTTGATCCGGCGCTTAAGGCCATAATTGCTATTGCTAATACAGAAAGGAAGCCCAAGGCAACCCCGAAGCAAGAAAAAGGGAAAGTTAATGTATCCAAGCAGGCCTATATGGTATGGGGGACAATCAAACCACCTCGGTTGAATGAGCCAGTGGTTATTGGACACATACCACAGAAGACAAAGTACAGTGAAGAGGAAGATGATGAGGTGTTCACGGTTGAAGAAAGTGAGGGAATATGTGAGGCGATGAGGAAAATGCTATGCGAAACACACATGGTTCAGCCAGGAGAGGGCACTAGCACCGCTGAGGTATCATACATGGGACCCAGCGCCAAGCTTCAAAACTGGAAGGCTACGCCATTCCTGATCAAGCGGAAGTCCTAGTGGACCTGTCCTGCCACTTTTTCTGCATCGCGAGCTATCCCAGGGTGTAACTCAGATGTTTTCTTTAGTTTCCTATTTTTTTCCCCCGAATGTCAACCCTGTTATCTTCCCAACTCCAAAAATGAAATCATATTTCATCGTTCACCTTCTTTATTTTTCAGAGTTTTGCTATGTTTTCTTGGTAGTTCTCTTCAATTCTGATAATGCAGCTTTAAATAACATGACATGCTTGCGTACTTCATGCCCAGATCCTAAGAACTCCGTCAGACTTCAAATAATGAGTCAAAATTTGAAATATAGAGAGTTTGAGAAAATTAAATAGGAACAACTAAAGAAAATTAGTTCGTGGTTTGGGAAATGTCCGTCACTGAAGTAGAGTTTGAGGACAGTGAGTAGGTTTAGACTCGTATGGAATGTTAACCTTAATGACTGCAGTTTGTCACGAGCAATTGTACCAACAAAGAATGGCCCGCGCCTGTAAAATTGAAGCAGGGCAACTGGTGTTAATGTGTATTCTTCCTCATCACCAAGAAGCACGAGGAAAGTTTGCTCATAATCGGAAGGGTCCATACATCATAGAAATTATTGCCAGAAGGAGCATTTGTATCTGGGCGGCATCGAAGGAAACGCCCTTGAAATAACTGCCAATGCAAATGCAGTCAAAAGGTACTATGTTGGATCCTATATATAGTTCTAATATTTTTCGGTTGAGATGACGAAGGCTTTCATTCTCGCTACCCAAACACTATCAACCCTTTGCAAACCCATTTGAGTTGGTTACTCTTCTTTGATTACCCTCTTTGGAACCTGAAAGTATTACTGAAAATAAAATGAAAAAAAAAAGAAATTGAAATGAAAAAAGAAAAATGAAAAAGAAGAAGAAGGAAGGATTGGAAAATTAAGAAAATATAAAAAAAAACGGAAGGGAAATAGAAAAAAAGGGAAAAGGGAAGGGAAGAAGAAAGTGAAGAACAAAGCAAATCAGAAAAACAAAGGAAAAAAAAACAAAATGATTGGCCTGAACTACGTTTGACTTGATTCCGAAAGGATACGTAGGCAACCTCACCATGGGGTTCAGTCACACTAAAATAAAAATCCAAGAAATCCCCCAAAGGTGAAACTGGGGCAGAAGTTATAATGGTTCGGCAATGATCCCGCTCAAAAGGTTCCAAAGTTGTAGTTCAATCCAAATTCTTTTCACCCTAAACCTCGTCCAAGTCCTTCTGATCAATTGGCAAAGACAGGAAAGCGGAAAACATCATTGTTGAAATCTGATAGAATTCAAATTGAAAAAATGAAATGAGAGAGTCTTATCGGTGAAAACCTTCGGGCACCATGAGGCGACAAGAGTAGAGAAATCAAAATGAGAGAGGTCGATTAGCGAAAACCCGCAAAGGGCGTTGTCGGCCGAAAAGAGGATACTTCATCACTAAAGGTCCGGGGAAGGTTCTCTGGTGTGGAAACACGGATCAATAGGTTCATGAGAAGCTGGAGTTCGATGCGGATCGGGCATCCAGTCCAAGAAGCATGTCATGTCAGTTTGAAGCCAGCATACACTCCAGATAAGTCCTTCTTTTCCCCCGAAAGGGACGCTTCTCTTTAAACTCGTATGTTTTCCTTTTGCATAGTTTTCTTTGAATCCCTTTTGGTCTAACTCTGATTCCGTAACAATCACAAAGAAAAGGTGGCAGGACCGGTTTCACAGGGCCCCGCCTGGCAAGAGTCAAAGAAAATACCCAGCCTCAGTGGTGCGTCAGTAACCATGGTGGTTGATTGCTTCCAAAGTAAAGACGTTCGAAAGAAAAGAAAGTCAAAGGCAAAGTTTCTAAGGGCAGAATAAAGCAAAAGGACAGATCCCACACGGGCGAGTCATCATATAATCCTAAGGCTGAACCCGGTCAGTGTGAAGGAGATTCACCCTCAAGATCAACAAGCAGCGCAGTTCTCAATGGAAATGGGGACGGGATCAAGCGATGAAGATGATCAAGGCCACAAAACCAGCCACCGTTTCATCTAATATATTGTTCTTTGTTGAAATAGGTCTTACTCCAGAAACCGTGCAAGAAGCAGGTATAGCCCAAAAGAAGTGAAATGCGCGAGCGTTGAACCGGCTTTGCAGCGGGAGAACAACCAAAAGTAAGTTTCCCCAGAATTCTTTCATGTATTTTGATAAATAAAAAAGGAAATATAAAGGAAAATAAAATAAAAAGACAGGAAAGAAAAATGAAAATCCCCAAAAGAAAGACAAATCATGGTAGCGTAGGACCTTATTCCCCAACTATCCCGGTATAAACCGCGGATCTCCTTGGCATAACCCAATGAGCTTTTTCTATCAAAATCCCAGCATAACCCATGGACCTTTTCGGCATAACCCGATGACTTCCCCGGCATAACCCGAGGACTCTTTACCTTTTCCGGCATAAACCGATGAATCTTCCCGGCATAACCCATAGACCTCTTCCGGCATAACCCGATGACTTCTACCGGCATAACCCGAGGACTCTTTCCCTTTTCCGGCATAACCCGATGAATCTTCCTGACATAACCCGTGGACCTTTTCCGGCATAACCCGACGAATCTTCCCGGCATAACCCGTGGACATTTTCCGGCATAACCCAATGACTTCCCCGGCATAACCCGAGGACTCTTTCCCTTCTCCGGCATAACCGACGAATCTTCCCGGCATAACCCGTGGACCTTTTCCGGCATAACCCGATGACTTGCCCGGCATAACCCGAGGACTCTTACCTTTTTCGGCATAACCCCATAAATCTTCCCGGTATAACCTGTGGACCTTTTCCGGCATAACCCGATGACTTCCCCGACATAACCCGAGGACTCTTACCTTTTCGGCATAACCCGATGAATCTTTCCGGCATAACCCGTGGACCTTTTAGGCATAACCCGATGACTTGCCCTGCATAACCCGAGGACTTTTTCCCTTTTCCGGCATAACTCGATGACTTGCCCGGCATAACCCGAGGACTCTTACCTTTTTCGGCATAACCCGATAAATCTTTCCGGCATAACCCGATGACTTTACCGGCATAACCCGATGACTTTACCGGCATAACCCGATGAATCTTCCCGGCATAACCCGTGGACCTTTTCGGCATAACCCGTGGACCTTTTCGGCATAACCTGGTGACCTACTGGCATAACCCGATAACTCTTTCCCTTTTCCGGCATAACCCGATGAATCTTCCCGGCATAACTCGCGGACCTTTTCCGACATAACCCGGACAGTTTCCAGCATAACCTGGCAATCCTCCCAATTTAGGGCTCCGATCCCTAAGTTGAGCAAGTTTCCTTTAGCCGGCATTAGGGCTCCAATCCCTGAGTTGAGCAATTTTCTTAAGCCGACATTAGGGCTCCAATCCCTGAGTTGCGCATTTCTACCTTTTGCGACATTAGGGCTCCAATCCCTGAGTTGCGCCTTTAGACTAGAGGTTTCCAATCCCCTCATCAATCCTGTAGATTTTTATGGCAATTAACTCACGAAATTTTCCTAGTGAAACTGGGGCAGAAAATTTCGTTCGTTTGTTTGGTTGTCTTAACAGGTCTGACCCTGAGGCACATGGATCGAGATGACCTAAGGTTTGAGTCTCAATCCAGAATAAAGAAAAGAAGAAAAGAACAAAAGAAGATGTTCCCAAATATCGGAACAAACAAAGGGCAGGTCGCTCAAAATTTGATCAAAATTCCCGAGCTCCGCCAATCCCGTTTCACTCAATACTGCAGAAACAAACAAGCGCCTACAACTTGCAAGCATCAAGATTCGGATCGAAGTCTACAAGCAGAAACAGCTAAGACCCAAGATCAAGTTACAAAAGAATTATAGATAGGATTCTTGTAACTAGCGGTTGAGAGGCATAAGTAGTTAGTTCAGTTTCAATTTTCCTTTGGTTGTAATAAGGCGGTCAGTAAAGCAGTCGTGGCGACAGCGACAGCAGTAACAGCAAGCATTGCAATACCATGGTAGTCCCAGCTACCAAAGTTTCCCGAACTACATTGACCTAATTCCTGTTTATGCCAGGATATGTAGGAAATCTTTGAAGCAAAGATTCGGTCAAATCTTTCAAAATATGCTTCACACGGAGTATTCCAACGGGCAAAAATTGCTCATATCCGCTCACTTTATCTTTGCACGAAAACCTCGCATGTTTTCGAACAAAGAGGGGCAGCTGTGAACACGTGATTTTTGTTTCGCGAAAATTACTCCAAAAGAAAAACAAAATAAAACAAAATGTCATCTGTGTACAATTTTGAGAATTTGCGTGACATTTTGAGTAATTATCTTTTTCCGTAAATGTTTACCTTGTTTTTAGTTATTTAAAAAAAAACAAAAAATATAGGTCGCATGCATACTTAGAATTTAATTGTGCATGTAGGAATCAATTAAACCATAATTTTGGTTTTAAGGAGGAAATCACAAAATATGCATTTTTATTCTAATTGTCGTCATCCTGTGATTTTTATTTTTACGTTCTAATTTGTGTGTTAATTATTGTTGAATGTTAATTAATATTTGGGTAGTTTAATTTTGGTTTTAATTTAATTAGGATTTTTGTTTAAATTAAAAGAATGGAAGGGGAGGAAAATACCAAATTTGGGCCAAAAATCCGTTTGAAAATCAGGCCCAATTCGTTATACTGGCCCAGTCCACGACCTGGGTTTTCCAAGCGACGTCGTTTAGATGTATTTGATCTGAGCCGTTCATCTCACTTCATCTAATGGCTCCAGGCTTTCCCCAGATACCCGACTCACTGGTACCCGGATTGACCCATTCCCAACGCTTAAACCAAATGACGTCGTGACTTAAATGACCTGATCCAGGCCGTTGGACGGATTTGATCCAACGGCCAGGATTAAGACACCCCTTCCGTACATAACCTTAACACCTTACCCCCACGCCCCCCTAAACCGAACCCCCCCTTTACCTTCGGAGACCAAACAAACCCTCTGCCTTCAACCACCATGCACCGCCCACCGGAAATCGC